TCTGTAAACCGCTTAGAGAGGCCTGAAAGGCCTATGAAGCGGTATATAAGTCTACTGTTATTGCTATATTGCTATTGCTATTGTAATTTCAGCTGAGAAATTGACTCTTTAATATGACTACAAAAATTTGCCTGATTTTTTGTCATCAAATACAGTATGTCATGATAGTAGATGGGAAAGAGGAAATAAAAAGTGGAACATGTTAATTAGATAAGGGCTTATTGGCCATCAGCAGCAAAAATTGTTGGATATTTATTTTTGCAACAATTGTACAATTCTTCAAAAATCTTTTTAAGAGTGTCCGTTTTTATCATAATAAACGATAGAAATGCTACATGCAGAGTCCCAGCCTTCTTCTCCCTGGATGTCCTCGATATTTTCAGCCCCACAATGCCCCAGTCAGCATTTCTTTGGGGTAACAGTACTCAGGCTAAAGTTAGAGACTGTGGCTCCTCGTATGAGAAAACAAGGAGAAGAGAAATCGTTTATCTTTTTCTAACAATGCCAGAAATTCATTGCACCAAGCGTGTCTGCTCAGATTGTCAAGAATGAGGAACACAAGTGGAAGAAACCATATAAATAGCAAATACAGTATATTGGGGGAGTTTGGGGCAGTGACGAAACCAGTGTAAATTTTCAGATATAAAGGCTGTTCGGCCCTGCAGGGTAACCTTCAGGGAGAAAGGTTGTAGGAATATTGAGTTGAGGAGAACAGGGATTGTGTGTCAGATCCCCTATTGGGACACTGGGAGACTGCCATTATGGAGCAAACTGCATGAATGCCATTTTATGACCTTTCCCTGTTTCTGCTCTTTTCTCAAATTTGATATATTGTATTTTTGGAGTATAAGACGCACCAAGATTTTGAAGAGGAACATTTTTTAAAAAAGTTTTTGCATTCTGCGGACCTCCCAAAAACAGCCCATTTTTCGCAAAAACGGGGTCGTTTTTTGTCAAAAATATATATGCATGCATAGCCTTTAAGAGGCTTATAGAGTGCTCCTGGGGGCTGGGTGGGTAAAATTGAGCAAAAATGGCCTGTTTTTCACTCATTTCTGCCCTCCCCAGCCCCCAGAAGCACTCTGAAAGCCTCTTACAGGCTCTGCATGGCCATTTTGGTCAAGGGGGCGAGGTTTCGAGAGGCAAAAAATGCTGTATTCAATGTATAAGACACACCCAGATTTTCAGCTCCTTTTTTGAGGGAAAAAGGTGTGTCTTATACTCCAAAAAATATGGTGCTTTCCTGGGAATGGGAGGGGGGAGAAATTGCCTTTGCCCATCTGTTTTGTCTTAGCTCCAAAAGAAGAAGCAAGGGGGCCTGAGAACACCTCAATTCAGAGTTCTCAAAACAAGTTCGTACCTGTGGCTTGGCTCACCTTAGACTGGGCAGAGGGGAGAGGTTTCTATAACTTTTTACCTAACAGTTCTGAATGGGAACTTCCTGCCTTGCTCTAATTGCTATCACTGTCCCTCAATAAAAGCTTGTTTTTGAAATCCCTCCTGTTTCAAGAGTTCTGCTTTCTTGAAGAGAGAGGAGAGGCAAGTACATTATGTTTTCGAGCACATGATTTCCAGGTTTATTTGCAGCTCCTGTTGTGATATCCTTCACTTGGAGGTGCCTGCCTCCTTGTTATTCTTTGATGGCTGGAGTGTGAGAGCATCACCTAGAGTCTGTACTTTTGTGGTTTCCCCCTTGCTGGGGAAATGTGAGAAGAAAATTGTACAGTAAAAAATGTAATAATGTCTAAAACAGCATTGAGTAGATTTTGAGGAAAAAAGGGAAAGTCAGCATTTATGAAACATTGAGACAAGGTAATCCAAAACTCTTCTGAACACATGGAAGGCGTTTCTTGTTTTTCATTTCTCTCCCAAAGCTCCTTAATTTTTTTCAAACATTTATCCTTCAAATATAGAGAGGAACATTATTTGTAGCACAGAGAGTAATATACAGATAGATTGTCCTGATGTTGCTGGGATTGGAAGACACCAAAGAATTCCAAGATTGTTCATTTCAACAGCACAATTCAAACAAACAGGTTAGAATTATTTTTACATCTGATCCCTTTGAAGGATAGTCGGTGACCAGGAACAGATCAGGATTGGCATGTGGAGAAACCAAGATGTAACTCGGTGATCTGTCTGGATAATCACTGGAGACTTTCCACGACAGAATGGAAAACACAACCTGTATCTCCCTGTTCCTAGCCCAGCACTGTCACCCACCCTATCCTATGCCCAGAAGCCCCCAGGGCACAGACTAAAGAAAATATCTTGGGAGATATGCAAACTCCATTACTAAAGAGATGAGGGAAAAACATCTCCCAAGTCTGCAGCATATGGATCCTATTCAGAAGAGACTCACAGAAGAACCTCTGTAATTCAGAGGAGTATATGAAGGGGGAAGAAAGTATAAGGAACATACTTGTGTCAGGGAATTGTGCAGCCGGTGTTCAAATGCAGTCAAAGACGCTGACAAGAACTTGTGGTTTTATATAAATAAATATATTTACAGAAAATAAAGAGGCAAACAGGAGCATAGTGAGGGGCAAATGTTAGAACTAGCTTCTTTTCTGTTGGCTAGAAATGAACAATCACTATGTAAATTGCTGCATGATTTTTGAAAATCCCATCTGGGTGATTATGTATATTTGTTACATTAGCAACTATATTCTCTCTGAGGTATACTCAGGAAATATAACAAAAAATGTGACCCAGTGGTCCAGAAATTCCTGCCCGATTCTTTCCCATCCAAGGCCAATTCAGCTTACCAAGAATGTTTTCTTACTTGAAACAGCTCAGACGTTTAGAGGCAGGGGGAGCATCTTAGAGATTCGCTAGTGAATGGAGCTCAGTGCTGTGTGTGCAGAGTCCATGGGAACCTCCCATGGTTGAATGGGAAACGTAACTTGCACATTCCTGCTGCTCACCCAGCACCTTAATCATTTCCCAGACCTATGCCCAGAAGCGCCCACAACAGAGTAAAGGAAATAAGCCTGAGATCAGCAATCCACCTCAAATCCACAACAGAGAGAAAATGTTGCAAACAGGCTCAAAGACCTCCCTAATTCACAGGGGCATCAGAAATGGATAGGCATGGTTCAACAGATTTCCTTATTACATTCATTCACAATAATAACACGTGTTAAGTCTTCTCCTGTGAAGTTGATTTCTTGGTCTGGTCTATCAAGAGGGGGGGGTGAGTCTGGGGGGCCTTTGAGTTTTAAAGTTTTGGGATGTAGAGAGGCTTTGATCCCTACCGAGAGTCACCCCCTAAGGAAGCATATTCTGTCAAAACGTCATGAACCTTTAGGGCTCAACACCTAGCTAATCTTCCTAAGCTAAGTAGTATCACATTTCACTATTATTATTTTTTTGGCGGGGGGTGTCAGTTGCAAAGGTCAGTTGCCAGAAGTCGAAAATGACTTGATAGCATTTAATCAGTGAAAACATCTTGCAAAGGCCTTAGATAGAGACGGCACAAGCGTGTTTTTCTGCCTATCTGGCGCTCAAACAGGCAACACCTGTGCCTAGAAAACGGACTCTAGAGCAGGCGCGTCTGCGGTTGTGCTTAAGGAGTTAAAATCATCAAGTGCTGTATTGCTAGAAAGGACGGGATGGGAGGACAGGGAAGAAGCGCAGAGGAACTTCCGGATCGCTCCTGGGGGGGGGGGGAAGGTGGTATGCAGAGCGGCTTTTGTGCTCTTCCCAGGATCAAAGCAGCAGCTGGAAGGTGAGTTGAGGGAAAGTGGGAGGGGAGGCCTGGAGCAAGTCGGGGCTGTTCGGTTCCCTCCGCGGCCTGGAAGCGGAGAAGCAACTGGGCTGAAGCATCTCAGCTGCTGCTGCTGCTGCAGATTCCTTCCCTCCCCAAATTTAAGCCCACTGGTGCTGCACGCTGTGAAACTGGTGGCTGCAATTTTCCTTCTGGTGGGAAGATTTTAAAAATCTCTTTTAAATTAAGGTTGATTCTTTGAGGATGGCTTCCTACCAGAGGTTGTGGGTGCTTCATCACTGGAGGTTTGTAACAGAGCTGGAAAAAACCTTGGAGGTCTTAATATCATTTCAGATAAATGGCTGTCCAGTCTCTGTTTAAAAGCCACCAGAGATGGAGCACGCACAACCTCTGAAGGGCAGCCATTCCCAATCAACCTTAACTCGAGACTTTTTAAATCTTCCAGGCAGCAGAAAATTGCAGCCATTCCGTTCCACTGGCTAATTGTTCTCACTGTTGGGATTTCTCCTTAAATCCTGGTTGCTTCTCTCCTTGATTAGTTTCCATCCATTGCTTCTTGTCTTGCCTTCTTGTGCTTTGGAAAATGAGTTGACCTTTCAAGTATTGGAAGACTGCTATCATGTCACCCCTAGTCCTTCCTTTCACTAGACTATTCATTCCCAATTCCTACAACCCACTAATTATCCCTACTGTTCTTCTCTGCACTCTTTATAGAGTCTCAACACCTTTTTATATTGTGGTGATGAAAACTGTTTGCAGTAATCCAAGTGTGATCTTAACAAAAGCATTATAAGTTGGTACCAATACTTCGTGTGATCTTGATTCTATTCCTCTGTTTAGGGAGCCAGAGTATCTAAAGCTTCTTGAGTTGTTTTCCCCTTTAAGATTTTCATCCATGGAATCCTTCCCAAGCTGTCTCTTAGTTTGTTAAAATCAACTGCTTTAAAGTCTAAGGCATTAGTTTGATTTTGCTCTATTGCTTGTGTCTGCATTATTCCAGGATGACATGGTCACTCTCTCCCAAATTACTTGCAACTTCAACCTCCCCCTCTATAATTTCCTCTCTGCTAGTAAGAATTTAGATCACTATAGGAGACTCCTAGTTCCCTCTTCTCCCTTTTGGATGACAAATGACAACTTTGTCATCCAAAAGGTAGAAGAGGGAACTAGGAGTCTCCTATAGCAGTGTTTTTCAACCACTGTGCCGCGGCACACTAGTGTGCCGTGACATAGTGTAAGGTGTGCCGTGGCAAAATTACTTTATATATAGTCAATATAGGCACAGAGTTAAATTTTTTTAACATTTTCTAATGGTGGTGTGCCTCGTGATTTTTTTCATGAAAAAAGTGTG